TTTTTTTTTCATATGAAGAAAAAAGCTGACTAAAGAGAATTATCTCAATTTAAATATTTGCGTCGAATTCGTTTAGGATGAAAAAGCACGGAGAACTAATATTGTCGACTCGATCGGAGTGAAGTTAAATCGTGGAACATTGTTAAATAATTAGAAGAGAAAGTCATATTTAAAAACGTATGAAAACTTTAGAACTGAAGTAAATTGAAATAGGATAACTATATAAGATTCTAATTTTGAAGATAAATTTATAAATTTATGAGACTTTTATTCATATTTCATTTGGCAATTTTATCTCGGAGCGTTACGAAATCGCGATTAAATGCGAGGGACACTTAAAACGTGCAGTCTAGTTTTTCTTCTGGCATCGATTTAGTTAAGAGTATACTTTCTACTTGATTTAGCGAAGCATGAAGCGGCGTGGCCGAAAAACAAAGAGAGACGAAACCCAACGACACGCTGAGAAACGTCAAGAGTATCGGTTGAGAAAGTATCGCGCGGTGAAGAAATCGCATTCAGTGGAAATATCCTTCTGACTAAAACACACCATTCAAATGCCACGTGTACCACGGACAGAACAATTTTACTGAAGAATCTAAAAGTTTCTTTATACTCACCAATAGGGTTTTACAATTGACGCCAGTGTTGGGCCATTACTGATTGTTACAGTACATGTACCTACTGGTGCAGTACTGGGATCAATTGTGGAACTGTTAGATGGTATCCTAGTTCATTCATTTTAGAGTCGTTTGTCACTCTGCGCGGTGATGGCCTAGTACTAGTTGACAGAACTTTGGCGATCAGTTGATAATTGTATGTCGGTATATAGTGTTGACTAAGCGTTGTAACTGCTGGCGACCATATTATGCGTAAGATACAGATCTGAAAATAATTTCGAGAGACTATCGAAATGATTTCATAGGAATCTTGAGCGTGGTGATGAGCAATGCTACGAGATATTCTGATATTTTAGCAATGAATTTTGTTATCCTCGGTAAATATTTTGATGTTGCTTCAGCAAAATTATTTTTAGATCTGTGTTTAAGTAAATTTTTAGATTCTTCATCAAAGTTGCTCTTTCCGTGTGAGTGTATGCGCGAAAAGAGATCCTGCAGCGGTCGCAATGAGATAAATGTGTCCCAGTAGCGCGAGAACGCATACTCCTCGACAAATAGAGTCGTTCTTAACTTCGCTCGATTATATTACGGGTCTCGAGAAATTACCGAGTCGCTTACATGCACGACCGGGGACGCGATTAAACTTTCCGTCGGATATTTCTCGCCGTCACGAATAATAAGCAGGCTTGAATTAATAAGAAGGAAAGACGTCGCGTTCGTGGAGGGGAACGAGAGATCGCTAATTATAATTTGGACTGTTATTTTAGCGAACGGGGATCGTATGATTTCGATTATGCGAGACATGAACGACGAAAAATGTGTGTCACAAGTGTTTTTACATTTTGATATTTTTGCGTATGCAGTAAGAATTAATTGCCGAGAGATAATACCTTGGCCGTAAAGTCCAAAGCGTCCTCAATTTATTTTCCCGAAACAGCACTGGCGGTAATAAAAGTTAAAAGAAGACTAATAAAATATTAATTCTTTACCGACAGTTAGAGTCTTTAAATGCATCATTGATATTTTAATTGTTAATTTTGATAGACAAATTTAAATTTGCAGAAAATAAGTAAAATGCAATCTGACTTCTGTGATGATAAAAACTCTATTAAAGCTTTGATAAATATGCTAGAATTTTTTCAGACTTTGTAATCCGAAATAAAAAATTTTGCGCTTTGTTTCTCAAAGATCTCTATTGCTAACGAAAGAGTTAAAATTATTATTGTCAACGGAGGATTAAAATTGTTATAAAAATAAAAATTATTTTTCAGTAAAATATTTTAATTTATTTTTTATTAGATGTAAATTGGTTACATAAATTTTTGGGGATGCTTTACATTTTGACCAAGGCTATAGTAGAACTTCAAAATTTAATTTAAACAATGTGGTTAAACAATTAAATTCAAGAAATGTATTAACTTGTTACTTATTAATTGTAAGTGCATACATTAATATAAATGCTGTTTACTTTTTAGTTAAGTAATTTAATCATAGATGATTTGATTTGACCGGATGTGGCGAAAATGAAAGTTGGCGTGTGTTTCTCTGAAGCTAGGAATAATCTGGATATAGAAAAGTATTGAATACGATGATAATATAATTCTTTAATATTCATCCGCAATTAAGTGGTCGCGGCGAACAGTGATTACTGCTGGTACGTTTAATTTGCATGATAATGCAGCGATTCACTCATCGACATGCACGTTTCGTTTCGCTTCGTGTATTCGACTATCGTGAAAGTATCGCGCTTCGGCAGATCGCTTCCTAATCGGAATTCGTGTTCGCTTTATGGTAAAAAAAACCCCGATTTCTAAAAGACCGTTTACGCTATGAATGTCAGGCTCGGATAATAAAAGATTATCGTTTTACAAATGCCTGTAAACGTCCCCGACGAAAAATGATATTCAAATTTTTACGGTGTTTTTTTTGTGATACGAAGATTTTTGCTTCAGTTTTATGATTTTACAATAGATACACATATATTACGAGTGCATATATATATAATAGTTAATTGTAAAGATGAGACTTTTCTAGTTGATATCTTTTGCTTCTCTGAATTATATTATTTGTATCGAATCTCTACATTTTTGCCTCACGATTTGGTAATTTATACGGTGATATTTTCATTTATTGCAACATGAACTCGTGATCTTTTGCACTGTTAAATATGAAAGATCAAATTTAAATTAGTTCCTTTGAGTTAAATAATATTTTGTCATTTAACTTTGTTATTTTTAATTTCCAAGCGTTAAATGTATTGTATTTTAATACAAAATTAAGTGTATTTTAATACACTTAAAAATAACCACCAATTTAATCAATATATCTGTGGTGAAATTGTTTAGTTTAAAGATAAACAGCATTTATATTAATGTGTGCATTTAGTAAATATCTAATAAATTAAAGAATCAAATTTGATACTTTTCGTGAATTTAATTGTTCTTTACAATAATTACATTGTTTAGTTAAATTAACGACGATAATTTAATTTTTTAAATACAATATATTATTAATTTAACGATATATATATATATAGATGTATATATTTATATATAATTTGACATTAGACTTTAATAATATTATTTCGTAATGATGCATATTTTTTCCTTGCAACGATGTTGGTGTTTCCTGTCGGAAAAAAATACTTTTCGGTTGTTTATTACATTTAAGTATTCTATCCTTATGGAGAAAAGTTTCTGTATCTTGATTAAAAAATGACATGATACTTTACGGCACTCGCGTGTTTTCCCGTTGCGCGTGCATTACTTATGTTAATGCATTTGGAAAAATTCTGCTGCGATCGTACATGCATATCAGAATGCGCGGCATTAGCATCGCTCCTTGATAAGTCGTTCAACGCGTATCAGATAACGCACATGCGAGAAAAAAAACCATCCCGGTCGACCTTTAAATGTTTTATTTGAAGCACTCTTCGCTTCATACTTGTCATTTTAATTGCGTTTTATATTGCGAGTTGAAATACAAAAATGTGAGTAATTTATACACGCGGTACTTCTGTGAAAGTAAAATTTTATTATATTGAAAATGATACTTTAGTTTTTAAAGTTATGCAAATGTCAATTTTTTAATTCAGATTATTGGAATAATTTAATCTATATAATTTAATCTTTATTCTATAAATTGCGAAGAAATCTAAAAATTATTACGCGTTCAGATTTCTACATATTTATATTGATCTAAATTATGTAGAAAAATTATTTTATACTGTGATTAACGTATAAGATTACTTTTTTACATAATCTAACTTATATCGCTAATTGTTAATCGAAGTATAATAATTATTACAATCATCTTTGCTTATGAGAGGAAACGATCGTTATAAAATTGTAGTGTTCCGTTCGGTAGATAATATCGGCGTCACCGGAAACGCAGCTAAACAGGTGTTTGCGTCAGCTGCGATTGCCCTCGCTATACTTCGTCACGAATCTCTCCGTTCCTGTCTTTGTCTTTACCTTGTCTTGACTCGTCCGCTTCCTAAAAGGCCCGCGGTAGTTATTCTTGGCGCTGCGTCATATAGGCGAATTCCACTTTCTTGAATTCACTTTCCGGAAGACGCGGAAGTTCCATGCTTCAAAGCACCGTTGTTGGCATTTTGATAATTAATATCGAAAAATTATGTCGATAATATCATTATTTTGTAATCTAGAAAACTTGATAGAACAAGAATGATAACAAATCTCCACTGATTTTGAGAGAAGTTTTGATATTTGTAACTATAATTATTGTTATTATGTTATAATACAATATTAGTAACAGTAATTGATTAAACTATATGTATAGTTTAATCAATAAATTATATTAGTAGCACCGAAAATGATTATAAATTATATAGTTAAATCATAGAAATATTGCAACCATTTTTAATAGTAATTATAATTTGTAATTATTTTAGTGTATATGTATGTATGTATATTTATTAAAAATAGGACTGTATAGTTATTATTAACATTATAACAATAATAATTATATAATTATGATAACATAATTATGATTGTTATACTGATATATAATTATGGTGACACTTAATTATAAGTTTTCTGTTACAATTAATTAGTGTATCACGTATTGATATTGAAATTATCTACCATTTCTAAATTTAGTATTAAATTGTTGTACGATGTTATATAGAAGCGATTGGAAGAAAAAAAATGTTAAAATATAATACAAACAAAGTACTTTAGATATGTCAAAATAGACCTGGCTTGATTCTATTGATTTGGATCCTGCTAACTTAATAGAAATAAGGAAAGAAGTTTATGGTGAAATTAACGCCGACATTCTCTTACTTCAATGTGGGAATATTTTACCTGTATCTTGTATGAATACATTTGGAACTAACCGGACGATAATTTTGGTTTTCAGCGTGGAACGGGACCGGCTTCGGGAGCGAGATCGACAGGCCCGCGCGGCGATGTCGATCCAGGCGGAGCAGGCGGCTGCGGGAAGTGGTCCTGATATGAGACACCATCATCATCACCATAACCACGCGCATCACTCCAGCATACAATTCACCGCGCAGGATGCTCTTTCGCTCTTCCGTGCCCCCGTTAGGGTGAATATATTTTTCAATTATTCTACTTTGACGATCGGCGAAAACATATCTTTTTTTTTCGTCGATCGACTGTTTCTGCATGCATTTGCTTACATATTGTGATTATCTTTTTTCACAAATACCCGACGAGCACTCATTTGTGTTCTAGAAAGACGTAAAAGATATTCTCTCTACTTTTTCTTTACCTCTTCTAAAATATTCATAAAGAGTTTAGTGTATATTGATTTTTTTTTATGTAATTAATATATTTAAATGTAGCTGAATGTCACGAACTAATCTAACTGACACTGTACCATGATGAAATATTTTCGCGAATGTAAATTAAAACAGCTACTGTCTGCCGGCTATTAATTTATTGTCAACGATAATACTTTTTTCTCCTCTTTTCTCTCTTTTTCGATAAAGAGAACAGCGTCATGTGTCAGTTAAATTGACACACCGAACATTTTGCGGTCTTTTTTCTCGGCGAGATGATGCCAAAAATGTTTCTATACGGGGAAATGAAGGTAGCGACGAATACCGGCCTGTCGATCAATTTCGCCGCACACGATTGCATCTCGCCGCGCGTCCATTTAACGATCGTACCGAGTTCTAAAACGAGCTTATGAGGTTATTTTGTTTTATTAAATAGCATTTTATTAAGCACCACTGTTTGCTTGCTATTTGCGGTAGTTGCGAAGTCACGAATAATTAATGAGCGAAAAAATCGGGCTGACGTTCGTTTCTTACGATTTTTCTCTCTTGTCATATTTATTCAAGCAGAATCCCAACTTCACATTGTCTGATCGCTTAATGGATCTTTCTCTTGCGTTTGAGAGCCATCTCGCCCTTTTTTTTACCCTGTCCTTCACTACGCCTAGCTAGTAATCGTAGGCAGGCACCTTGCCAAGTAGATTCACTGACCGCTTCAATTAACGTTAACCGATAGCTTCCCCCTCTAGTCTTGCCCTGTGTATAAATTTATTGTAATATGAAGAGTGTTTAATGATCTCAATTACAGTGCTACTCGATTTAAATTTACGTGAGTAAATATTTGGATTTTTACTTGCTTGAGTATATTGAGGACATAAAAATTGCAAATTTTACTTTCTAAAATGTTTGGGGTGGAATCTGATGGAATAAAAGAGTGCCAACAAAGAATGACAATTGAGCCAATATTGAAGAAGAGTGGTTTAATTATTAATTTTTAACGAGATTTCGCTGTTTAGAATTAGATTCTATTCCAAAGATTTTAGAGAGTACGAACAATAGTTCAGAAACATTATGTATATCATATCACCGTATCTTCCGATATCGATATGCGGAAAATTCCAATTACTCACTTAAAACATAGCTTACGTGATTGCCATACAATTTAATCGGAATATTATCGTTTCTTGGAAATCTTTCTACTGGCAGAAACACACGATTCAACGCAAACATTGTTCATCAAGAAATAACTTCGTAGCTTGACGAGTCGCGGCTTGGAAAAACGAGTAATGTAATTATCTCTGCAACCGAGATCCTTCGCCTTCGACCTCGAGAGGCTCCAATTCAACTTTCGCGACGGCCATTGTTTAAGACGATGTCTTCGCGTTACTTATTACTCGCATTACTCAGCGTTATGTATTGCGTAATGTAACGAGGGCGTTAGCGCATCTTAATGCATTTATTTTGCAAGACATTCGGTTCGTCTCCCTCGAACTTTCTCTTTGAGCGTTCTGCATTCCTTTGTAAGACATTTTACGGTTCCTGAGTTACGTATCCATTCATAGATTTTTAAGGCCTCGATAATTCAAAAAGGCGTTTCGAATCTGGCATGATTAATAATTGAAACTACCTGAAAAGTCTTCAGAAAACCTCACATGATTATATGACCAAGTTAAGAATTCATCGGAATTTTCTTGTGATTGGTAAACATAATTTTCCTTCTCTGTTTTCTTCCCTTCACTTTCACCCTTGGCTTTTATCCGCACAGAGGTCCTTCAACGGTATAACTTCAAACGAGAAATTTGTTTCTAATTTGCGATGCTTCAGCTCCAGCTCCAGCTTTAAAAGAAACAGGATGATCTGTTTTGGGGAATTCTGTCATAACTATAAATTGAAAAAAGATTTTACTTTTCTTTCTAAGCGACTGTTATGAAAGAGATTATCTTAGATCTGAGGAGTAAACCGCTGAGAAAAATTGTGTACATCATTACTAATGCTCAATTTTTATTACATGTTCAATAATGCTTTCAATAATAATGTTAATTCCTAGTAATTTATGACCTCATATATTGCTTATTATAGAGCACAATTTTCTTAAGTAATGCCCAGTAATGTCCTAAATCTGTACACTGCAATGCACGTCTTATAAGTTAGTGGAATAAAGTGAGCAGACTTGATTTTAACTAACATTTTTATTTGTTGCTCATTTGTTGCTAACAAGTTGCCAAAGAGTACATTGAGGTTTTTTACTGTTATTTATACCTATTTCGCAAGCAACAAATTCGTAACTTGCATATTTCGACAACAGCAAATAAACAACAAATTCCTTCGTTATTTTTGCGTCGATCGGGTTTATTCTATAGTATATATTGTTCCACTAACTTAATTTTCCCTTAGCGGATTATTATTAAAAAAAAAAAAACTAATAGAGTAACAAACACAAATTTTTTTCTTGTGACATTGTTAGCAATAAATAAAACTATTAGTTAAAATCAATTCTGCTCACTTTATTCCGCTAACTTATAAGACGTTCGCAATACCCCTAATCAATCGTTTACCCCTCGCTTAGATCATTTGTTTTGACTAAAGACTGTAAAGAGCCTGACCACAATTTTGTTAAAATTTTATGAGAAAGGAAATATTGCATTTCTTTTCTGCATGGAAAGAACAATTTTGTTAAGTATTTAAAAATTCAGTTTATGCGTGTGTAAACACAGATTTGAAAATAATTTTGTTGAACCATCTAAATAATTATGTACTACACTCAGACTGGTTGTTAAAATGTCGAAACTTTTTGCAGCATTGCTTATTATACTTGAGATTCTTTTCTAATTATTTTGATGGTGCAACAAAGTTATTTTTAAATCTATATAGTTAGATACATTTTTAGATACTTCAGTAAATAGTTCTTTCCGTGTGTATATGTACATACATGTAAATTTCACTCTAACTTTTACCACCTCACGCTATAATTTTAATTAAAGTTATAGAGAGACAGTATACGTTAAAGTAAGATAGTAGTACACATGCAAGGAATAATTAGTATATTATATACATGTATATATGCCTTTCACTCTCGTGACGCTTTTAACAAAATTGCTCGTGATCACACGGAAAGTGTTATTGACTGTTATTTTACTGTAGCATCTAAAAATTTAGCTAAATACAGAGCTGAAAACAATTTTGTTGAACCATTAACGTAATTACGCAGGTCCCAAACTAGATTGCATTATAATTCATCATGTTTGAGATTCGCGCGTACGTAATTACTTTGATATAATATACAATATACGTTACAATAATCATATGTATACAACAAAATTATTTTAGAGCTAAGTATATAGCTAAATTTTAGATTTTCCAACAAAATCATTCTTTTCGTGCAGACTCTATTATAAGATCTTTAGTTTTAATAGTTCCTTGGTAGCAGTTTTGAATATAGTAATATTTTACAGTCAATAATTCTTAGTTATACGTGCCGTTTCCTTTTTACGAATAGTCGTTTTCAAGAGTAAAAAAGATCATTTCATCAAAGCGACGGCAGTGAAAGCAGCGATAACGGCAACTGATAAAATCATACAAATTTCTGCGCGGTTGAAGTTCTCTATGATTTTACAACCGGTCTACGACGTGACATTAAAATTGACATTTGAAATATTAATGATTTTAAAATCGTTGCATAGTTTTTCGGGTAGTGCTTTTTATTGCACGATGATAGAAACGAAAGAAGCATTTGGTTCTCTTCGGCGTGATAAACCGCTTAATTACACAACTGCATTCTCTCATTACGTTCGCGCGACACCGCGTTTTGGCTTTGGATTGCTAATATAATTTTTTTATTCGGAGGTGCGAATGAATTCCTAGCTATGTTCCGATTGGCTCTTTCGCATACTCAACAGGTGTTTTCTCGACTTTTAACCTTAATGAGCATTTGGCGAGAGTAGTGCGATCTGATTCTCTTGAGCATCGCGATCAGCGAGGAATTCCTCGATTTTAGCAGTCATGTTTACTCATTTTTATTAATAGAACAGAATCTTATTTATTTTTTTTTTTTTTTACATCAATACGTCTGGGTACACGGAAAGAACGATTTTGTTAAAGTATCTAAAAATTTAACTGCATATATATATCTGAAAATAATTTTGATGGTCTAACAAAATTATTTTCAGATTTGTAGCCGGCTAAATTTTCAGATACTACACCGTAAAAGCAATCTGCAGGTTACATTAATCGGGATTCCAATGGAAAATAAATATATATATAACTTAAAATTTTATCTTTAAATCTACATTAAAAAAATATCTTGTACATTAATTGGAATTTTCGTAGATTCAACTAGAAAAGTTGAATCTGTCAAATATTCTAGCCGACGTATAACCAGAATTCTAATTTCTATCGTTAAAATTCGTTTTGTTTGTACTTCTTGTTAATACAACCAGAATATTTTTCCCAGTGTATTATAAGTCTAGTTGAGATAAAATCAGATATTCACTTATGATAAGAATTCTAATTGATATGATCAGAATCTACTTTATTCATTTTTAAATAAAAATTGTTTTTACTATATAGAGGCAAAATCAATCTTTTTGTGTATTTTAGGTCGTAGAATTGACATATTAACTCTTTATATATTTTATTCGCGCATTTTTATTTACATTTACGTAACAACTTTACTTGAAATTCATTAAATTGAACTGTGGAGAAGATCAAAGGTAAAGGCCGCGTATACATCAGTTTCTAAACACAGTTACTACAAAACCAGACATGCCGTACGTTTTTTTCACCATGATTGAGAAGTTACTTGATCGGCT